ATGCTAACCTAAATAGATACAAAGTTCAAAATAGAGCGTGAGTTAAAGGCTAAACCTTCAAGGAACAACCTCATTAAGAAAAATAGTAAGCATTTAATAAAGATTTTAATGAATTCAAACGAATCTACTCTACTTTTCGCGTCTGATTATTTGGACAAAGGACATTTTTTTGTAAGTCGTCCTGACCATTTTTCTGAGACAAAAAGGAGCCGAATTTTAACATTTCTTCCCCAGACTGGGGATAATTAAATGAGCATTCATTGTGAGATTTACAAGAGGGGAAGCCCCTGACACAACTTCAGTCACAGCCAGAGGCGATCCTTGATTCGTATTCTCTTTGTATTCGGCAATAGATAGTCGCTCATTGTGCTTTCAACTCACATTCAGTATACAATAGTTGGTACTTATAGACTTATTGTCGCGTTCTTTAATCTGGAATTTCATTAATAACATTAATAATGGAAAACATACAAAAGTTAAAATAGACTGGATAAATAAATGACTTCTTTCAAGAGTCAATCTCGAGAAATGCCAGAATTACATACAATTTCAGTCTAAGTTTCTGTTTTCACGAACATATACTCGTACTTACTATATAGAGTTTAATATCATAAATTAAATCTGTTCCTGTACAATGCTTGCAAATTGCTGCAAAACGCTTGCTAACATTAGCTATGACAGAACACCTTCATTTTCTGTAGACCTTTGATGAATTGTGTTAATCAGCTGATTTGATGTATTCATCTACATGATGTGTGCTTGTACCAAGTCGAACGTATTCCACTTTAGTTAAATAAAAAACTTATCCTTGAAACTGCTAATACTTAACCAGTAAAAAAATCGTTATTAACTTAAAAACGAGGTCTTAAGGTACTAATGTACCCGTTCAACACAATATTATAAGAAGCCATCAGTTTATATTTAGATAAAGGGATGATGTTACAGATAATGTAATCAGAACAGAAGTATAAAGATAAGGCAGCGGCGGCTGGATGTTATCTCCCAAGGGACAGCATCTACTGATAACTGGGACACTGAGACTTTATCTAAACATAGTTTTATCAATGACTATGTGTAAGGTTACAGTAATTGTACACATTTAGTTGAACTTTTGATAACAAGTTGTCACTACTTTTCATATTTAATAAACAAAAATTGTATTTTAAAAGCTAATATTCATGTAAATTTCAAAACTATAGCGATTGGATTGTAGTTGTCATTTTAGATGAGAATGTTGTGGTAACGATGAAAGCTACGATAATACTGTGAAATTGGAAAGATTTTTAATTATTATATCTTATAGTTAAATTGAATTGACAATACTAAAGCCATCACAGATTAAGTACATTAAGATTTTTAACATCCAAATAGATAATTAGATTTCTATTGTAGTAGAAGGTAGTAAAATTTGCGTTGATGATGAATTGTTCTTCACAACTCGGCAGTACACCATGTCAGCGTTGCATTGGATAGCGATGGCACTTCAAATAACCGGTTATTTAGTTCCAAAGAATAGCATGTCAACAAGCTGTTACCGAGAACTGTTCCTGTGGCCGGATGCGAACACTCCAACACTATTTACACTATTATCTATATCTAAATTAAAAAGTTAACGCCTGCACTCGTATTTATTTGAAAGAATGCAATACAGGTAGCAAAATTGACTACATTTTATCGATAGATATTTTAAATTGGAACTAGAATTAACTAAACTTCAACCCCTGAAATTAAATATTACCAATTTATACCAATATCTCAACGGTCAATCCGGGTTGCTGAATAAGGTCGTGAGTTCAGATCTCTGCAAAACCCTAAATTAAAGGAATCTGTTTAAAAAATAAAAAAAAAAAAGGGTTGCTCTATGAGCAGTTCTTCAAGTCATTGTCTTATTTTAGTTTTATTTTTCATATTTTAATTACATAGAAAGTTAGATCTTGATATCACCATAGAATTATTGCCTAATTATAAGTTTTAATTGCTTAGTGAAATTTATTACACTTTATTATGACATGTTTTACATAATTATAATAAAGGGTACATTTGCATCTTTCTTTAAACTTTATGTTGCATTCACAACGATGCATATTTATAAATACTGGCTGAATAGTTTTTCTTACCGCCCAGCGAGTAATAACAGTCATTGTTGGTTCAGAATAACTTTGTGTAACTTTGTACTTAGCCCGCCACACGAATGTGCTTAGTTTGAAAAAAAAACGCCAGTGAAATTTGAGCTTGTTACGAAATATCTATAAACAGAAATTATAAGTTGCACGTTTAAAAATTTTAAACCATTTTTTAATTATACCATTTAAATACTGGCCACAAAAATAATAGACATAAAAAAAATAAAAATATACTCTCCGGTGCATCACTAGAAATATATTTATCTCCCTCTCACAACGACGAAACTTGATATGGTAATAAATAAAATATATCAATGCATCTCTTTCTGGTCTCAGGGATTGTCAATTATGTCGTCTCTGTCTAGAGCGAGGGTAACAGAGTGGATGGCGCGCGGTTATCGCTCTTCAAATACTTAGTTTGGAGTTCCTTCTAACCTTGAATATTGGAATTCCAGAGGCCTTCAGGACTTTGCCTGTCTCTCTCCCAAACTTATCTCTAATTAATTCCATTTGAGAGAACTTTTATAAGGATTGCTACAGGTTAACCTTCCATCATATTATTACTTTTTTGGTTAGCCCTACATATTAAAAGGTAAGTTTTAATTTTCTTTTAACATCTTTACGTTCTATGTATGACCTTTGGTTATATTTAAGATGTTTTGTATTGATCTTCATACTGCATTGCACTTTGGAATGGTATCAAATATTTGACCTTTGTAAATTTCTCATCGATCTTGTCTTATCTATTGCAGCACTAACATATTACAAAGAACTCTAGCATTAGACCAATTGGACCAAGTCCCATCTTTATTGGAATTACAACTTATCTGAAGACGTATGTTATAAATTTTAACTTCAGATGTACATTATATAATATTGTACTTATCACTTAACTTATAACTTTTTCCAGAAGGTCCCACAATATTAATTAGTATACAAACACAAGACCTGGCAGCTGGAAAGATAATCGTTATACGTTCGTATACTCGCTCTTTATATTACGACACATTAATTTATGCGTCTACATAATTATACATAATAGTTGTCGCCCGCGACTCCGTCCGCGCGGGATTAAAAATAGATGTTACTCAATAAGCTCACAAAATTTCATGAGAATCGGTCAAGCCGTTTCGGAGGAGTATGGGAAAAATTGTGCAACGAGAATTTTATATATATGATAACATTACATTATATTGTTTAAGGTTTAAGTTAAGTTTTTAAGTTTACATCTGTTTGTCCCATGTGGACAAAGGCCTCTTCCATTCTTCTCTTATTTGAGCCTTCCTAGACCAGGTCTGTCCCGCCACTGCACTTATCTCGTCTTTCCGTCTTTTGATTTGTCTTCCCCATTTTCTAATTATACATAAACTACAGTTAAATATTATTTTTAAAAATATAAACTATGCTTTTCTTCTTAGTAAATTCGATCGAGACTGCGTATTCGTTTCCCTATTTTAAAATTTACGTAATAAAAATGAATTGGAAAGTTATTAAACATCTATACTTGGGGACACTAATATGATACTAATAAAATATATAATTTTTTAATTAAGAAGTAATCAGGTGTTCATGGATATTTTTTGGTACTCGTATAGCAGTATCCTATTTAAGATTTTATCATCATCAGCTCACTATACGTACCCATTGAGGGGCTAGGAGCTTACCCTAAGTTAAGGGTGACTCGGCCATAGTCAACCATGAATTTCTTCTTAGCTATGTGCAGATTGCATCACGATGTTTTCCTTCACCGTAAGAACGTCGAATAAATGAACATATGTAAATCGAAAATCACATTTGTACATGGCGGGATTCGAAACCAGGGCCTACTGATTACAAGTCAAGCGCGTTAACCCATGAGCTACTGATGCTCGTAAGTTTTTATATGGGAAACTAAAATAAGCTTTGAGCTTAAATGACCTTCCAAGATATCTCTGTAACGTGTGCCCCTTAGATCTCTAACGTATTGTTATTTGTCGTATTCATTACATTTACCTCGATTCGAATACAGCATTCTTTTTTTAAATGGTATGTGTTTGGGAAATGAATATCGATGTATTTTTGTGTTGGCAACACTTGGTGACGTCACCGAACAGATTGACATCGCAGCTTTTTATAGCTGTTCTAAGAAAAGTTCCACTTTGCTAACTCGCATGCGCTGCGTAATATAATCTGTTAGGATGATGGTTCTGTGTGATTTCTAATGCATACCATGACTGCACTAATTAGAAGCTTGAAGTAGAGCTTAAAAACATTTGTAATTCATTTTCAAATGTTTTTTTTAAACCAAAACCAAATATAAAATTTTCAACATGTTAAGCAACTAGGAAGTAAATCAGTTTGAATAGTAATTTGATTAATGATTTTAATAATGGTAAAGCTTTTCGTTACTTTTTATGTGGAACCTTACAAAGTAAGTTTGTAAGTTGAAAACAGTATAAGTTAGTAATGCTGACATAGGTAAGCTCCAAGCTGAGAATAAACGAGACCTTACGCTCCTCCAAGTTTAGAAAGACCGTTGGCTGTGTGGATGTGGAAGAATGGCGGAATCCTTACAATGCAGGTTGTATTCGAAACTTGTTTGACCAGAACTGAGAGAAAAAAGTGGCGGGCAAGTTCGCCTACAATAGCATTCCTCGGCGCGCGCCCGCCCGCGCCCCGCCTCCCGCCCGCCTGCGCCCCCGCGCCCCGCGCCCCGCACCTCGCGCGCCTCGCGCGCCAGTCGCCGGCCGAGCGCGCCCGCGTGCGATCCATTCCTCACTCTCTAATGTGCTCGGAGAACAATAAACACAACCAATTCAGTGCTCGAAAAACATTCGCTCATTACATTTAAACAATTCTTTTCCTTATTTATAGCTAACAATTATCGAACTGTATCAAATACATAGCATTTGCTTTGACAGTGATGCATTGTAAATTTGAACCAGTTCATTGAATGGTGAAGAAATTTAGTGTTGCGTAGTGGTATTGTGGTCGTACTGGTCCCCCATGTGATTCTTATTGATTTTCAAACGTCGCTCCCGAACAGCTGTTTTTGGGATGCGGAAGAGACTCGTCGCCTCCTCTGAACAACGATATCTGCCACATGGCAACGGAATTATACCGAAATATTCCTTTCGAATAAGAACAATCATGCCATAATATTAAATTCGTTCATTAACTTTAAAAAAAAAAGCGTACGATTATCTTGTTCGTAAAAAATTGTGCGATTTGTGTGAAGTGTTAAACACTCGTCGGTTCTACTTGAAAAAGGAATTATATATTAACTGCAGTGTAACTGACGAGACGAAATATTGGAAATAAAAGTGTCGGTGGTTTTGTGATTTTTTTAGTGATTTTTTGTGATTTCCTTTATTTGGATTTTCATCGTGGATTGTGGATTTCAAACGGTCAATAAGGTAAATACATTATCTGTTAGTATTTTCATAATTTTAACATGTTTTGGAAGCGCTTTGCGCTGTTTTGTGTGCGCTTTAATTCCCGTGTTGGGAGTAGGCCTAACTGTACCGGCGAAGTCTACGAAATGTTAAAACTCAACTCAAATTACTATACATTTGTTCGAATCAATATAAAGCATAAATAATTACACATTAAAATATAAATTATACTTACACTAGTGAAAAATAAAAACTTTGATGTAAGCGCGCTAAGTGGATGAAAATATTATTTTCATCCGTCTTAAAAGCAGTAGAAGTAAATTATATGTAATCGTTTAAAAATACATCCTTTTTTTTTTATGACCAAAAATAAAATAGTTTTGTATAAAAATAATTACATCACATAATTCGTTTTGCCGTTATTTTGATGTAAAAAAAAACAACGGCAAATTAAGTCACGTAAATGTGCCGGAATTTTATATTTCCGATAATAATTTTCTTTAAATAATCTGTAAAATAACTATGCAAACTTTACATTTTATTTTATTTAATCTATCACATAATAAATGCAAAAAATAAACACATATAACATGAAGACCAATAACGATGCACCAGACAAAATTCCACCCGAAGGGGAGACCAGACGGCTGAATACAAGAGAGGAAAAAATTGATTAATGAAATTCTTCATAACTATACAAAGGTCAAGTATGTTCCTATAGAAAATTCTAGCTTTCGCCCGCGACTCCGTCCGCGCGGCGTTAAAAATAGATGTTGGCCGATTCTCAGACCTACTCAATATGCTCACAAAATTTCATGAGAATCGGTCAAGCCGTTTCGTAGGAGTATGGGAACGAAAATTGTGACACGAGAATTTTATATATAAGATTATAAGGAGAGTAAATAGAAAGGCTCACGTACTTTAAGTAATTAATTTCACCGAGCACTTTCTTTAAGCGAAGTAAATCTCTTCTAAAGCAAAGACGTTTTAATGTAATCTTTTCATTGTTCCCATTCAAACCCTTGACTTATTTAAGGAAAATTAAAAATAAAATCTTAAGCAATTTCATAAAGATTATAAATAGCTATGTTTTATTAATTTCGTCTGGATTTCGTATCTATATTTAATATATATTTAATTCCATATATGTTAGGAAACTACATATAACTTTAGGCAATGTATAAGAGAAGGTGCTGTCTCCTGAAACACAGTAATAACTAGTTCCGGAGACAGAGCCCACAAAATTTAGTGATTTTTTTTTTGCCAAGTAAAGATTTTTTTTATTTGCTAATATTACTATGCTATATAATATTGGACTGTATTTTAACTTACTTATTAACATAATATGCTTCTAAGTGTAGAGGATGGCGGCGATGAGGAGAGAAATAAAACGCAGGATTTATTTCCGCGCGGACGAAAATATCCAAAAGTTTGATATTATATATAAATACTAATGTTTGGATGGATGTACAGATGTTAGTTACCATATTAATCCAAAATGTCCGAATCTGGATAACATGTAACAGAGATAGATAACAGTTTTAAATAGAGCATAAACATAGTTTTTTTTCTATTTCCACGCGGATAAAGCCGCGGCGATAGCTAGTATTCATCCCAACTTATAAATATATATCAAACGTCTGTTTCTCTGACTCACAGTTACTATTGGTGTTGTGAGCTGAAGGCATTTAGCCTAAATCTTTATAAAGATTTACTTGACACAGTTGTTCTGCGAAGGAACGCTTTAGGCCGTTACGTCCCCAATTGCACATTGACCTACAGTCACTGAAAGGCCCATGATTCAGTCGTTTGATTCAACACAGACAAGAAATATACCTATTGAGTCAAATAATCGTGAGTTCCCACCGCCGAAATACATCTATAGGAAACATATTTTCATTAATATTATTTAAAAAATAGTATTTTGGTATCTCCTCAACGCAAATACATTGAAAAGTATATGTGCGGGTATTTGGAGTAAAGAAGTAGGTAAAATGAAATGTTTTATATCTACCCACCTACTTACTGTTATCATACGTGATACGCTTGTAACAAAGTATCTTATAGTCTTTAAAAAATATTGACATTTAAAGTAAACAAACAAACAGCTTAAATTTAATTTTTGTGAATGTTTTTTCTTGTATTAGTCATGAATGGATGATTAATTTTGTTGCACTACTTTGTGTTTACTAACTAATATCTGTAGGTGTGTCTGTGCGTATTGTGATTTATGAATTCCTGGTACACTGCAACTTTCTTAATAACACGTTGAAGTATTCAGTAATAAAATAATTGAACACTATCGACCCTTACAATCGATCTTTAACAATTTTTGCTTTTACTAAGGTATTTTAATTAACTTCTGATTCATTGGTTTAAGATTTAACATATCTAGGTTTTATAATAGTAATGGAAAAGCCTGATATTTTTTAGAAGACACAAAATAATTTTTTTTTTGTTTTCTATTTCGAATCTTCTGATCGACCTTACGGCTACGAAGATTCGAAAAATCGAAAAATGGTACAGGTGGTATACTTATATGTTTGTTATCTATTACTAGATTAACTTAAAGTTGAATAAGTATTGAGTTTTTATTTAAGTTATTATAATTCATTTTCTCTAGATAAATAGTTTTTGTGATTGTTTTTTCATTATACGTTTATTTAGTCTTTTCTCTATTTGAATATAATTTGGACATAAACAGTGATTTCCAGAATATATCTACGTACATATTTTGTATTTTATCTTTGTTTTTGTGTTTTGCGACTTCATTAAGCGATGATAAAAATTCATAAAAAATATCACACGAATGATTATGATTTTGATTATAAAACACTTTCTTCAGTTTTGTTTTATCTTATCTTACTAATATTATAAATGCGAATGTTTAAATGGATGTTTATTAGAAGGTATGTACAGAACTACTTAACGGATCTTACTGATATTTGGCGTAAATGTAGAACATTGAAAGAACACATAGGCTATTAAGTTTTTTTTTTTCATTTTGCACAGACGGCAAAAGCTGGCTAATAATATTATGAACCGACGTGTATAAAACCTTTCCATTGAAAACAACATATTTGACTCTTACATTAAAAACTCGTAATCAACAAGTATTAGAAAATAATACGTTTTATTGAAAACTAACTGATTGTTTGTGTCGCAAAATCTTAAAAGAGTAAGCCTACATTTCTCCTCAATACTTCCCGCATACTAACTGCTTCTTTCCATTAAAAGTCTCGTCAAAATCAATTTTGCTGTTTCAGAGATTTTCATGAGGAAATAGACTTGCGTATAGACAGACAGACAGTTTGTAAAGTTGTTATTTCTTTGTTCGCAAATATATCAAGTACACGATATATTAAAAAAAATATATTAAATACCTAATCTTATTACATTGTCATAATGTTTACATTGTAATTTGATAGTTGTTTCATTTTATGTAAATTAAATCAATTTTATTTATTTGAAAATCACAAATTATAAACCAACTATAATGTTAATAATGTAACTTTATGCAGAAAACAATAAAATTCTGTGAAATTGTAACACTTCTTTTGCAAATTTTTGCAACATCTATTTATGTAATCTATGAAGGTTTATGAGCACGCTGTTATTATAAATGCATTTATAATATACTAGCTATCGTCGCGACTCCGTCCGCGTGGATATATAAAAAACACTTAATTAGTGTAGCTTATGTGTTCTTACACACAACATTCGCATTTATAATATTAGTAAGTTAAATAAAAAGCAGCTCTTCAAGGCATAAATTCGAAAAAAATGAATAAATAGTATACTATGTCCGTCTCCTGGCTCTAAGCGACCTCCTCACCAATTTTCAGGCATATCGGTAAAACTAGTTATAAATAGTGTAACTTACACGACTTTCTTTTATATATATAGATATAGGTATAGGTATATAGATATAATAATGTGTTATACAAGACTCTTGTATGTTATTATATCTAGTCATGTAATATGTTGTTATACATACAACATAATGAGTATTTTAACTGACACGCGCTTTACAAGCATTCACTCAGATCTATTCTCTACTAGCTGTGACCCACGACTTCGTCTATGCCGAATTATAAAAACAACGGAATTAGTCGTGTATCTGTTCCAGATTTCTACATCTGTGCGAAATTGAATCGACATTCGTTGGGCCGTTTTGGAAGATACCTTCTAAATAACATCCCTCCATCTATCTAAACTTTCGCATTTATAATGTTAGTAACATTGAGTTAAGTAAAAGGTTATAAATTACTGATTTGGATTAGGTGCATGGAGGAATTTGCGTGTTCAGGGTTCAGATTTTTTTAAATCAATCATGATACTGAAGTTATGTAATTTTTTTACGCTTTAATGTTTAGAAGAACAAAAGTAAAGAAAATAATTTTAAATTTACCAACGACGAATGTTAAATTAACATGAACGTTTTTTGATATGAAATATTGTTAATTTTGCTTATTTTTAGATGTTTTCCTAAAAATACACTAAATATTGATTGTTTTTAATATTATAGACCATGTAAATATCTTGATTTAGTACCGGATTGATGTTAATTTCATTTCCAATGTATTTTTCGCTAACTAACTAACAGTTTTGGATTCCAAATTCTTAAAGATTAGTTCAATGCTGCTTTATGATAAACATATCAAGAGTAAGTAAATTTGAGAAATATTTAAGGACAACACAATTTGTTTATAATAAAATTGTCAGTCTTTTCTACAATTAAAAAAAAAAACTATAGTCATACAAAGAAAACTGTTAAAATATTCAAACAAACTAAGGCAATAACATTAAAACATACATTTATACCGTTTTTTGTATAATAAGCCTCGTTAAAAACGAGTTTGAACACAAACATGTTTTAAAATTGTATGCTTCAAACGGAATATTTTCCAACTGGATGCTCTTATTATGAGCCATCGTATATTACAATTAAAACATTTCTGTTTTCATTTTTAATAGTGGCAATATTTTATATATGAATTGTGGCTTTCAAAACTTATCGT